GATATTTTGCTGTGTTTCGACGAAGGTTGGGTGTTTTTTTAATTTTAAGAAATGAAACAGCAGGGGGCATGTTGAGTATATTCTAGAATGGCTTCGTGCCAGCTCAAGCATGCCAGCTCAGCGTAGTTAGTTGGTTAGATCTAACAGATTTGAAGTTGTTATGTTAGGTAGTGCTATTACTTTGTGTATAAAAAGAGCTGGTATAAGCTGATGTACGTACGTCATTTCAATAAACAGTATTCTTGTTAAAATATTGATTTTCATATTTTCTAGGAGTATTTACCGAAAAATCATCATATTTTTTTATTTATGTATCAGATACTGTTAAAGAAAATATTACGAATCTAACATTTTTTTTAGAAATGTAAAATATTTTCTGGGATGGGTGTTAAATTCGTAAAATTTTTCGCAACAGTGTCTAACTGGTAATTAATTTCTGTTATGGTGATATTTGTGTAAAAACGTCAACTTTCTTTATTTTTTGAGCAAAAAAAACTTCCTACTTTAAAATCTTTAAATATGATTTTACAAATTATTTTATTACTCGACAAGTTTTAATTTTTACATGAAATTACATAATACATTTATGTTTACCAATTACCGCTTGACACTTTTTGCATTAATGAAGTATATATATGAGTTATAAAATCAAATTAATCATTTATTCTGCTATTATTCAAATTAATTAAGAAATATTATGGTAAAACATTTGTAAAATAAAAGTATAAATGCATACATGATAATTTAAAAAAAAATTTGTTTTATGTTACTCTCTAAACTTGTAACAATATTCAATAAAAAAAATGGTAACGTTAAAAAATATCACCTATATATTTAAAATTTTCTTTCTAATATTAATTTTAAAAAATATAAAATAAATATTAAATTTTAATTTTATTAAAAATGAATACACATTATTAATTGTTGTTAAAAAATAATAATTAATGAATAATAATTCATTTGGTCCCTCAATTATAATTAAAATTTTATTTTAATATTTTTTTATATTTTTAAACAATTAATTTTAAAAGTTAAGAAAATTGTCAAAAATATATGAAATTTATAATTTTTTAAATTATAAAATACTTCTTATTATTATTATCATCATCATTTTGAAAAATAAATACTAGTTATAAAACCTTTATAAAATTATTCATATTTTAAATTACTTACCCTCAAAGTTTTTCTAGACTATACTATACGTATAGGAATTTTAAAAGGTCAAAAAGACATTAGAAAGTGTCAAGTGGTAATTGATACACATAAGTGTATTGTGTAATTTCATGCAAAAACTAAAATTTGTCGAGTTATAAAATAATTTGCAAAAACATATTTAAATATTTTAATAGAGTGTTTTTTGCAGAAGAAAGAAATTTGATATTTTTACATAAATATCACTATAACAGAAATTAATTACCCTGAAGTCACCGTTTTAGAAAAGTTTACATATTTAGCACCAATTCCAACAGGTGTTAGATCCGTAATATTTTATCTAACGGTGTCTAACACATAAATAAAAAATTCAGTGATTTTTCCATAAATACGCCTATTTTCATCTTACCAATGTGAATATAATTAATTGTACTTTGGTTATATAAGATTGCACTGAACCAAATCAGGTTGAAAAAGATGTTTGATGATATATATAAAGAATTTAGTTAAAATTAAAATATGCATTTAATATGTATAAAATTTTAACTATACTAAAATTATTGTAATTATAAATTATTAGTTAAATATTAAAGAGGAATAATAATTATAATTCCTTTAAAAATATAATATATAAGGTATAATTTGATTTAAAATATATATATCTCACAAAAAATCTATTTGATGTCGAATTAGGGTTTTAAAAGATATATAAAGGCATAAGGAGTCTAGCAGCCATCAATTCACTTCTGTAAAATTCTCTAAACAGTTTAGAGAATCATATTTGTTCATTTTAATAGGGAGGATTGAATAGAGGTTGTGACATAGGGTCCTGACTATTTTTTGGTTGGGGAAAAATTAAAAAAGTGGACCCCTAATTCAAAATAAATTTAATTAATATATAATATAAAATTTCTATTATATTTTTTTATTAAATTAAACAAATAGCAATTCATTACAATATAAAAAAATGTCAAAAATATATTTAAGCATACAAATACTTATAAAAATAATTACCTTCGAGCATTTCTTGATGTAAAATCATTGATGATAGTGTCAACATTAATGTTTTCCAACATATTATTCTCAATACATAATATAGCATTTGAAAATAAAAGAACGATGTTCTCTAGAATTTGAAAATATAAAAAAATCAAAAGAAAGATTTTAAAAACATGATCTTACCTAGAATTTTAAAAACAAACTTCAATATTATCCAAGCACAGAATTGATGATAAACAATTGTGACTTTGTGTTTGTGAGTAATATTGAAATTAAAAATGAGAGTAACAATTTTCAGAGGAATTGTGAAATATGGAAGAGAAAATAAGCAGGCTAACTATACTTAATTTTGTTTCTCCCATTGAATTTTGAAGAGAAAAAAACAACGCTATAGTTTTTTTCATTGACATAAAAAATCGGAAAAGAGATTTAGTGCATTGATGGTTGGAATTTGGAAAGTCCAAAATTAAAGAGAATCAATTGGATTTTTTTCAATCTTGAAAAAAGAAATATTGAATTAGGGTTTTATGGGAAGTGTAACAGTTTATTAATATTAATATAAAAAATTCAATAATGACCATTTACACCTTAATAAACTTATGAGCCCCATTTTTTATTTTGTAATTTTTTAAAATTTATTGTCAAAAAAAAAAGAAAAAATATTATACTAACATTTTTTTTTAATTTATGGGCTATGGGGGAGGTGCCCTCCTGCCCTCACCCAGGGCCAACCGTATTGTGACATTATGTATCGACTTGGGAATCAATATCGTTTGAAGGCAATCTGACTTGCAACAGTATCTATCCAATTACCCTTGTAGAGTCAAAAATAAGATTTATATGTTAATATTAGTGTGATATGGGTGATATTTGAATAAATGAGATTGGATTACAGAAGTCAATATGTGAGTTAATCTATTCGATTAAAGTTAATGTTGGTCAAAGTTGTGAATCAAAGTTAATATTGATCAACGCTTAAGACAACGATGAACTCTCAAATCAACGAAAATTCAAACTGGAGTCAAAGGGTCAAATTTTATTTTTGGGTCAAACAGTTCATATTCTAAGGTTATACGTTTCTGGCCAAACTTGGTCAAAGCAGGCCGAATTAAAAATCAACGGGTCAGATCAGTTCTAGTCAACGAGTCGATCAAACAGATACAATTAATGGGCTGGTCAAACGTGTACAGTCAATAGGTCAATCAAACGCGTACAATCAGTGGGTCGATGAAAAGGGTACATTTAACTAGTCGATCAAACGCGTACTATCAACGGGTCAAGCTTCATCGGGCTTGGGCATATCAGGTCAAGGTCCAACAAAGATAAAGCCCTAAGCGTATTGGATGAACTAATTAGACCTCAAAATGACCCCATCCTTTTTAATTGGTCAGTATATTCTATATTCATTTATTTTAGTCCAATTACTCTCCAACTACCCCTAAATAAGTTCCATAATTAAGAAAATTGAGTCTTAAAATTTTAAATTATAAAAATTAAACCCTATAATTTATAATTTCATTCAGCTCTTAAAACTTCACATTTATGTCAATTAAATCATTTAAACCATATAATTCTTCCAATTTGGTCCACAAAGGTTAAATTCCATTTAAATAGTTACAAATTGTTTCTCAAAATTTCTAACTCCGGAATCAGAATGTGATACTTTGATGATATTATTTAAACCCTCTAATGTTCTGATTTTGTATCTGAAACTTCATGTGTGATATATGTGTTAATTTAGTCTTTAAACAGGTACTTAATGATTGTTTAATTGATGTATAACCTGAACTAATTTTGATTTAACTTCGATCAAATTCCGGTTGATTAATATGATATTTTCAATTTAGTGATCAATCAATATGATATTTTCAATTTAGTGATCAATCAATATGATGTTTAGTAGGGTGAGCATTCAATCGAGTCGAGTAAAATAATTTCAAATTATTCGAGTTGACGAGTCATATTTTATAACTTGAACTTGACTTAAATTTTTTTAAGTCAAGTTGAATTTTTTAGCTTCTGTTTAAATTTAATTATAAAATTTTATAATATTATGATTTTATTTTAATTTAATTTAAATGATTTTTATAATCATATACAATACATATATATTTCTTCATATTTTTTCATACGCAATATACATATATCATATAGAGTCAAGAAATTCTACTCAGACTTGAATATCAGTCAACTAATTACTAAAAATTTTAAGTTATTCGAGTTGTATTTTACAACTCAATTTGAACTTAAAATTTTTTCGAATCAAATTTAAAAAGTGTAGCAAGGGGCATTATCTCAAAGTCTCATATCATTAAATAATAATAATAATAATAATAATAATAATAATAATAATAATAATAATAATAATAATAATAATAATAATAATAATAAAAGTTGTCAAATTGATAAATTAATATGGATTAAAACAAATCTAAAAAACTAAATTGAAAAAATATGTCAGAATCTAAAGATTACTTTATCGGTAGATTTAGACAGATAAAATAACATAAAAAGATAACGGAGCACATGCTCATTGATTATGATACCATAATAAAACAAAAGGAAATTATGTTATGATAAAGATTGTAATCCATAGTCTATAAAGTCAGGTTTATATATAATAAATATGAAGCACATGTTGATTCAACCAAATCAATGACTTAATGTGACACTGAAAACTACATATCCTCTACCTGTCGTATTCTCTATAACAAACTTTTTATGTAATTTTTTTTTGTTACAAAGTAAGGTAGTGTCTGGTCAAAAAATTCAATCATTTAATAGTGAACATTTAAACATCCCTACAGACGTCGTGCTTGAACCTGAGACTTCTAAATATAACAACCACCCTTTTAACTACTGAGGTCGCTTGGTTCATGCGAGAGCTATTGCAATCACTTAAATGAAAAGGATATAGATTGAATAGGTCATCTAATCAAGAGAGCACAGCACATGAGAGGGAAAGAAAAATATTTTCCTACATAACATCAAAATTCAAGAACTTACAACATTTCTTAACAGCTTACAGCTTTCCTACTCGGATGCTTGAGTTGTGTTTTTGTGTTCTTCATTTCCAGTTCCACTTGATATCAAGGCACCATTAAAGAGGACTTACTCCAAGTAAACTCGAGTATCGGCCTCATTTATGAGGGAAAAAGAATAAGGGATGGGTTCAAACTAAGGATTCTAAGCAGAGATCCATCCTCATTCTAGTATTAATTCAAGAATTCAGTCCACAAATGTGTGATTGACCAATCCTATAATTTCATAGTAAAAGAAAAGTCCATATACCTCCAAGTTTCAAAATGTAGGACACTACTCAAGAGTTTGTTTCCTTTTATAGCATGATCACTAAAACGGATTCTTTATTATCCGTGGCCAAAGTGCTCAGGTCTCGGTGCACCCGTTTGTTATTGGTGTTCCTCCACCCACTTTGCAAAATGGAAGATACTTGAGAGGCTATCTACACCACTCTTCCAGCTGGAAGAAACTATCTCCTTCTATTTAACCAGTGCCGATTATGGTTATTGTTGCTAGACCCTTGCTTTGGAAGGTCATGCAACTCCATTACCTGTATTGTCCGCTTCCTCTTGGCTGTTAAACACAGAAAACATTACTAGAGAAGTTTGATGCAATCATAAATAAGTTTGAATCTAATTGAATTTTGAGCTGTTGGTCTTATTTCGGTTGACACCATTAATGCTGCAACAACCTAAAGGACGTTGGTTCGAAGCACACAATTTCCTCCAATTAGGGGTTTGGGGGTTATACAGAGTTTATGCATATTAAAAAAAGTTAACATTTAACTCAACGATAAAACAGTTCCTCAACAATCTAGTACCTTATTTGCACAGAAAATATTTAAAACAGATAAAGAACCATATGATAGAGGACTCATGGAATTGAGATGAGAACGGACAAACCATTCTCAGCTTGTTGATATCGCTCTTGAAGCTTCCTTTTTGTGGCCTCAAGCTTTTGCTGGACGGAAAGTTCATCAGATGTCTTGAGTTTCTGATTACCGAAGAGCAGTTATCAGAGAAAAGTCTGAAGGTGTAAATTCAAAGTAGGAAGAGATCATTCGCTTACATCTTGTTGACAGCTGAGAGGCTTCTTGAGGACAGCCATCTTATCTGGTGTTTTCAGCAAACTTGGTTCACTGTTGGGCTTTTTCTCCACATTGTTTTTTTGGGGTATCCCGGACCCAGTATTTATGCTTGAGGGCTTGCTATTAGGTTTTGCAACAGGTTCTAGTCTCTTCATTTGTTGACTCTTGTCATCCTTGATACCCAGATTTGTTTTGCTTGAAGTCTTCTTTTTCCCTTTTGAAAAGGTTTGGTTCTCCTGTGATGGCTTTCTTCCACTATCCCAGTTCCTTTTGAATTCCGCATTGCTTTGTGGATCTGAAAATATAATCCATGATCGTAATCATGTATCTAACAAGTAGGAAATTCAAATAGAGAACCAAATTGCAAAAGGTATCTAAGAAATGCATTAGAGGTAGCAAATTCAACTCACTTCCATCATCATCCATGCCATCGAAGAACTTCACGTAATGTAGCACCAGCGGCAAGGGAAAAAAATATTCCAGTAAGTCCAAATGCATAGCAAGTCAAAATTTTATTGGTAAGAAAAATATCAAAAAGTAAGACCTGTGAGAGTTCCATTGATGTAGGTTGAGTAGCAAAAAAAGCTCCTTCATCTAATGGCGGAGATGGAAGCCCTTCTTCTTCTTCTACTACTACTTCTTCATCAACGACAGATGGATTCATAGATTCTGGAGTACCCTCTTCATTCAAAAATTCACAAATAAATAAATAAAAAGTAATGAATATTTCTATGAATTACCAAATACCAGTAAACTAGCTCTTACCAACAATAGCCTCTGTCGCACTAACCCACTCATCCACCAGTCCCTTCCACCCACTGCAATCCACAAAAGTCAGTGAAAATGTGCATCTATAAATGCCTGGACAAGATAAATGATAGAATATATTGCTGAGAAAACGCTGTTAATATTCTTAGGCCAAGGAAGTAAACAAGTCTAGCATCACCGAAGGCTTCAGAGACGAGTTCGTTAAGCCATTGATCATTTAATAAGGAATGCTGAGTGTTCCAATGACGGTATGTCAGCAATGGTGCTTAAACTAGTTAAGAAGAGCACAACCATTCATTAACGCAAATCAAGGGATCCCTTAATTAGTATATTAAATTATTGCAGAGGTAACAGTACACGTGATCAGCCTAGTCATATCTGTCAAATGCCGATATAGCAAAGAAAATGAGCAACTAACAAGAAACTCTCAGCCAATAAATTTGATCTCTGCAATTAACAATTAATACAAATGCAAAATATGGGGTGAGCAAAAATCAATATATGCAATTTAATAAGAACCAACGATTTCGTACTTATGATGCTAAAGTTCATAGAATGCATGATTTATGCAATCAAATCAAGTTCTTTTGTTTGATAATCCGCCTCGAACCATGTCAAAGCGGCAGGTAATCATACATACTTATGAAGCTCAACAAGCATATATATCCATGTTCATCACACAGCATATCAAATCAAACATTCAATTTCATCGACCGCAGAGGAAATAGAACTCGTACTCGATGATAGTTTGTGCGAGATGACGAGTCTGCTTCGACGAATGCCTTCTGAAACTGTTTACAACCTTTCCAATCTCAGTTGCCTGAAAATAGAAAAAAACACAAACAAATCACCATGCTTCAGTCCAAGCATTAACATAAGGAGAGTAACAAAATGCGAAAAATCAAAAGACATTTACCTTGAGAACATCTACTGTCAACTCCATTAACTGAAGTCTCCTCAATGAATCAAACAATATAGAATCAGGCTGCAAGAAGCATCAATAACAACAGAAACCATCCATCAAAATTTATCCTTGAAACAAATCCCAGAAAATATATTAATTGAAACATTCCAAACAAACCTCATCTTGACTGTTGAGAAGAACGTCTTTAATCCTGAAGACTTCACCAACAATCATAGACTCTTGTTCAATTTCATCAGTCAAAGCCTCGGCCTCTCCATAGCTATAATTACTAGCAATTTGATTCAGCAAAGTATCATCTCCGGCCAACTCCACGCCGGCGCAACCCGAACAGCGAATAAAATCACAGGTGAAGAGCTTCTCAGCAATATGTTCTCTACGTAATCTGAACTCTTTAGGACAATCCAAAGCTGCCAACACAATTGCATGTTCGATTATATCAAATATGTCTGAATTTGCTGTCCTGAAATAATCCCTCCACCGCTCTAATGCCACACCTTTCATCGCTTTTAATCTAATTAAGATCGATATGATTCCAAGGAAATCAAATTTATCAAAACCATTAATTCAATAAAACTGCTTTTGGTATTATACAACGAGGGATGACCGAACTATTAAGGATTCGAACCCAAAAAAAAATCAAGACGGACAAAACAAAAGTTGGGTTGTTTATGTTTTTCTTCACTTTGTCAGAAAATACACTTGAATTTTCTAGAGAAAGTAAACTAGAAAGGAAAATAGCTTGAATTTTCTCGAGAAAGTAAACTAAAAAGGGAAAATCTAAAAGAAAAGAAAAGAAATTGTGAGCAAGAAGCAGCAGAGAGAGAAAATGAGGCGGTATTGTGTTTGGCTGGATAAAACCAGGTGCCGCTGCTAAAAGAGCTGAGATTTTGATCTTAAAAAAAGCCCACTTTTCTCTCCATTTTTGTAATGCTTTGTTGGTACAAAGAGGGAAGCTTTTTATTATTATTTATTTTTGAGGTTTTGATCATCATGTTTGGCACGTGTCTAGGGAAAAGGAAAACGTGTTTAGATAAGAAGAGAATGAAGTTGTTTATCTTACTACTTGGGTCCCTCGTTTTATTTCTTAGTAACCTAGGCCAAATATGCGTCGGGATGGGCATGGTTCGGGTTTGAGTCGGATTTCGGTCAATCTAAATCGATTTAAAAATTTTACATAATTCACCCGACTTGATCCGACCTGAAAAATATATATCTTTCACCTAACTCGAATCCGATTCGACTTTTTGATTTAAAATTCGAATTTGATCCGAACTCAACCTAAAATAATAAATAATATTATTTTTATTCAATAAAAATAGTGATTTAATTGAAAAAAATAATATATAGAGGGGTATTATTATAATTATTCTTAAATATATAAGGTAAAATTATTTTTTTTTTGGTCGGGTCGGGTCAAGTATTTTCACCCCAAACGCGAATTCGACCTAACCCGAACATCACCTTTAAAAAAAACCTGACTCGACCCGAACCCGATTTTTTAAAAAAATGACCCGATCTGTAACATCTCCAATATCAGGTTAGTTACCAAATTGTAAAATTTTAGGAATTGGTGATTAAAGTTGGATAATTGAATTGTTCAATGATTTATTGGAAATATGAGGAAGGTTATTTAGTAATTATTGAATGAAGTAAAGGTTAAAATAGTCATTTGACATGGAAGATTTTTATTTTCCTTTATTAGATAAGGAAACCACGTGGAAGAGAAAAGAAGGCAAAATAAACTTCCAGAGTTTTCTTCTTCTTCTTCAGCCGTGAGTCACCATGGCAAAGGTGAGTTTTGTGGTTAGTTGATTATTTGTTAAAATAAAAGTTGGTTTATGATTATTAGATGATAACTAAGCTTAAGGAAAGCTTAAGTTATCTTAAAATCTTAAAATCAAAGTATGATGGAGTTAGGAGGGATTAAAGATTTGAGGTTCTTGGGTGAAATCTTGAAATAGAGTTCATAACTAGAGTTGGTAGTTAAATTTGACTTGTCAATGGTTTAATTAAGAAGTTAGAAGCCATAGAATTGGAATTAAAACATATTGCAAAGTTGGTTTAATTCTTGAGTTACATATAAGGAAAAGAATTTTGAAGCTAAAGATGGTTTATATGGATATAAATTGGTTTAAGCATGTGTATATGAGTTGAGAACATGAAAGGGGTTGAAAGATGAAGCATTTGAGTTGATTTGAGTAGATTTTCGGGCTTAAAAATGAATTCTGGGCTATGTGCATCGATGCACATTCGAGGTGCACCGATGCATCAAGAGTAAATTTCCAGAAATTGTTCAGAGTGTATCGATGCACAGGAAGTGCATCGATGCACCTATTAAAAATGGAAACATCGAATGAAATTAATGCATCGATGCATAAGGAGTGCATCGATGCACATGTTAAGGGATGCATCGATACACTGTAGAATGCATCGATGCACTTCAAGGGAAATAGAATTATACCTTTCTTTTGGTCTAAGAAATGATAGATTAGTGTATATCAATTGGATACTAATATGTATCAATGTATGATTATATAGATATCGAGCACGAACAAGTCCCGGAGTGATTATCAAGTTATGATTCGATCGCAAGAGATGAAATTATAAAAATGGATTGGAACTTAGTGAGGCCAAGGTGAGTGCGTATTATTTTATATATGATGTTTAATGGGAAATAAGACTTGTGACAAGTCTAATTTCTATAGTATTGTGCATGAAGCATGAACATGAACTGAGTTATATGTTATGTATGTGTTGACATGTTATTATATATGTATTTCATGGTTGATGTAAATATATGCTATGTTATGATGATATGATAAGAAATTATATGAATATAAAATAGAAGTTATGTGATAAGATCTTTGAGATATATAGAAATGGAATATAAGATTACGCGAATACATGATATGGGATAAATTAGGTAATAATATGGAAATATGGTAAAAAGCGAGTTTAGAAGAAATAATGGGAATGAAGTACTCAAGTGTAAAGGTTATATAAACAATAAGAATGTGAGTTGGGTAAGTGAATAGTGGTATGAACATTTATGTGAAATAGTAAAATAGAATTATATCATTGAATGAGAATTGAAGCAAGATAGATAATATTGACCTATATGATAATATGAGACTTGAACATAAGTGATAATAGGAACATATAAGATGAGTTAGATGGGAAAGATACATATGCTTAAATAAAATTATGATATATGGGTTGTATGATGGAAATCTACGTAGTCATATTAGAAAGTTATACATAATATATGAATTGAATTAGGTAAATATATTAGATTAATATATAAATGAAATAATAGAAGTGACATATGTTTATGAGTGTGACAGATGTGATATGATGTAGGTGAATATCATAGAATGAGGTATAAGCTATATGATATGAGATAAGTTATTTTTATACATATATGATATAAGCTATTAATCAGGACATATGAGATTATGAGAAGGAAAATATAAATAGTGTGAATACAAGTATAGGAAAAATGATATATATATATATATATATATATATATATAGGAAGATGAATTATATGAATACACATTTAGATGATGAAATGATGGATTATATGAACATGTGAATATCTATATAGTTATAGGATAAGACATAAAAGTAAGATATAAGCAATGTGACAAGAAATGTGAAATAGTAAGAAAAATGAATATGAGCTATGTGATATGTGAAAGTGATTTACGTGTTTATACGTATATGTGATTCAACTTATGTGACATAATCTACGTGCTATGTGAAAGTGAACTACGTGTTTATGTGAAAATGTGAAATGACATAAATGATGATGCCCATGTTATGTGTCATGAGAGCTAGGGTATAGTTGGCATGCCAAGAGTCGAGGGTCTACGCGGTCCTTCGGGACATATATGTATTCTTTGGAACATGTGTGAGGTCTTTTGAGACACATAATTGATCCTTGGCATATGTATATGATTCTTAAGGAATGATATGTGGTCCTTAGGGATAACCTTATATGACACTTCGGTGCATTTCTACGCGGCACTACGGTACAATTCTACATGGCATTTCGGTGCATTTGTACGAGCTGTGGTGACAGCATTAGTGCACAACCTCTATAGACTCATATATCTATAGTTCTCACATGTGTACATGGGCTAATAAGAAAAAAAACAAAAAATATATTACATGTGATTTGTATGCTTTTGTGATCTGAATGGTATTATATGATTTATATGATGATATGTGGATTGTATGATTAAATGAGGCAAATGTTGGTTAAAATGCTAGGTATAAGAGGATATGCATTAAGTGATATAAACGATAATAATATTGATAATGAAATAAGGCTAATGATGGAAATGATGAGTGATGAATATATGGGTGTATATGTTTTCATATGTAATGATATATATTGCATATGTGTTTTAGGGATTTGTTACATGAATAAGGGTATGAGTGATAGTAGTAATTGTTCATGCATGATTACAAGCTATAGTTATATTTTATGTTTATTGCCTCACTAAGTCATCGACTTAGCGTGTGATTATGTCACACGTAGGTTATCGAAGTGAGCAGAGTAAAGAGCAATGTGGAGCAAGACAGGTCAGTTCTCCTTACCAAAGGTCAGATCAGAAGAAAGGTGAATAATATGTATTTTAATACATAAAGTTCTAGTTGGCGTGTATTCAAAATAATATATTGTATAAGCTTTGAATAATTCGATAAAGGTTTTGAATAAGTTATATGTAATAATAAATTTTAATTACTCACTATTTTATACAAGTAAAGGTTTTTAAAAAGTCAATGTGACACTTCAGACTCAGATCCGGGTCGGATACGGGTTGAGGGTGTTACATGATCGGATCGGGTCGAAACCCGTCGGGTTTGGGTTTCATGCTCATCCCTAAATACAAGGCAGTGTATGTTTAAAAATGACTCTTAACCTCTCGACATTGAACGCTCACATCTCTGGCATCTATGGTGCTCTAATTTCGATCCTCAATGAATAACAACAATTCTTTTACCATGGAGGTCACTTGACAAATTAATTTTTTAGGGTAAACTATGTGAATAGTCCTCCCTATATTTTCGGTCTAACCAAATTTGATCACCAATTTAAAAATTAAGGAAAAATTATCCCTAATGTTATTGATCCATTCGATTTTTGTCTCTAATGTTATCAATCCGTTCGATTTTAGGGTAAACAAAATGTGGTTAACAAAAATTAATAGCATATGGACTTAAATCGGATAGACTGGTAACGTGCGAGAGCATTTATTCTTAATTTTTAAATTGGCGACCAAAGTCGATCAAACCCTAAACAAAAGAGACTATTCATATAATTTACCCAAAATATTCCTTTTAATTCATTTTTAGATAGTTGTACTTTTTTATAACATGTTGTTGTTTAGGAAGTACGTTTTTGTCAACAATCTTTAGACCAAATAATTAAAAGTTACCAGTTGACACATTTTTTTTAAAATTATAAATTGAATACTCATTAAGAACAAAATTTAATTTCTACCTCCTTTTTCCTCTTTTTTCTTTGAGACAGAAAAACTCACCATCTCATCCCATCTTATTGATCGATCTTCTTATTTTTTTACTACCCATTATCTCTTCCAAGAGGTATGTACTTGTTTAAAGAGGAACCTAAAGATTCGGTGGAAAGGTGTCTACTTTGTTGAAGAAAAGGGTTACTAAGACAAAGCTGAGAAGATTATTCAGAAGATGAAAGGTGTCGAAGCCAAGGTGTCCATGGAGTAAGGTACGAGAGTTTTGGTTAACTCTGTTTCCTTGTTCATTTTCTATTACTTTATTTTCTTAAGCTCTGATTATATGACTAAAGTTTATATTTATAATTTTATAATGGG